AACTTGAAGAACTTAAGATTTAATAAGGAAATCAGGATTAAGAATGCTTTAAATATGAGTATGAATATGGAGAGAGAGAGAAGGGAAGAGAAGGAGGGGGTAGGGAGGGATCCTTATGGAGGTAGAGCAATGCAAGTGCAATGTAGAGTTGGGGAAAATTAATTTCTTGATCTCTATAATGTTTCTGTTTATTAAGTGATGCCAAAATTATTATAAAAATTTCAACAAAACATACAAAGGTGGTATATTTAACAATGAAAACACTCATTTGAGTAAGAGTACCTATACATAGGCGTGAACTAATAAATCAGCAAACCAGATGAATAATTTTTTGTATCAAATTGAAAGGGTAGTGCTTATTCAAATGATATGAGCAACTATTCCACTCCTACTTAGTTCCTGTCTTATTTTTAATAATCATGCCTTTTGTTTCAAATTACAGCTAAATGAAATTAAGCAATCAAGATCACATATTTTCCAGTCATCATGAATTTGTGCACTGTTCACACAATATTTCTAGTTGAGATCATTTTGTTTTCAAATCTTCCAGTCTTTGCTTTGGAAGTTTGTGAGTGACTCACATCTCAGTAATGTAGCTATCCTTACTCTTTATTGGCTTCTCTCATCACTTGTCAACTCTTTCTTGTTCTAAGTGCAATTTACAAAACAGCCATCCCCAGGCCAGGGAACATGCTGCTTTCTTGACCCACAAAACCACTTTCTTTTTCTTCTCAGTTTACTTTTGCTGACCACACAGTGTTACTGTGTTTATTTCATTTTCTAAAAGTAGAATCTACATGTATCTTCTTGTTCATACTTTATATTTAGCTGCTGGGAAAACATTTCTGTAATCACAAAAAAGGTTGTTACAAGTTGTAGACAACTTAACTTAACTGACCACATGGTGTGACTGTATATTTCTTTTCATCTTTCCCCCTTTTTTAAGTATAATTTTTTAATCCCTAATTTTTCTGTTATCAAAAAACTTTTGTCAAGGATTTTAAACCACAAACTAGCAAATAATGCTTATTTCAAGTTGGTCTAAATCTAATTTTACTGACCTCATGGTGAGACATCAGTATTTCTTTTTATTTATAGTCAATACACTATTCATCCCATTGTTCTCATTTCGTAAAGTAAATGTTTGGAAGGACTTCGTGACCACAATACAAGAGAAAACTTGTTACAAGTTGGTCCTCACAAAAGCCCCATTCAAGTCTTGTATTGGAGAAGACTTGTAAACAATTGACTTTAGGGGGTTAAAACCTGCATTCCTTCTATTGTATACTGGTAATATTGATTCTTCTAATTGAATACCCAACAATCAAGGGAAAACCATCCTTAATCCTTGAACAAGTGGATTAAGTTTAGGTACTTGAGGATGGTCTTTTTAAGGCAATATTTTAACTGCAGAATATAAAAAAAAAAGTCACCAACACCATTCCATTGAATTTTAAAAGCTATTAATTAAACCAAGATCCTCCTCCACAATTGTGTTAGAGGATGAGGATGCTGAAAATCAATTGTTTTCTTTATTCAGCAGAGCTATTAAGAAAGCTTAAAGTCTAAACTCATGCATTTTTAAATGCTTAGAGGCTTACTGTAAATGAGCAGTGGCTACAAATACAGGATATATTATGTATAAGTATACCACTTTTTTTTTGCTGTTGTTCATTTGGACTGTTTCACATTTTAAACAAAAATATTGATAGATATTTATAAAATCAGATCATGTATTTTAAAATATCTAACAATATGTGGAAAAAATGAATAAGATAATATGAATTTTTTAATTGAGTTGATGGAAGGTACAGTACATGTCATTTTTAATACATCAAACACTGACAAAGTTGACAAAACATTCTTTCAAATGTCTGTCAGAGAACAGCCCTGGCTTTTTGCAAAATAATAAGGCTAACATTAGTTTACATAATTTGGTGTAATGCTGTTATTTTAGTTAAATGAGTTTTAGCTATCCATCTGTTTGGAACATTTCGTAAAACTTCTTATCAATAACATATGCTAAATTTCTGTGACAAATTTGTTCTCAGCAAATTAAATGCCACAATCTCAGGAGCTTGTAACATTTACTGTAACTTGTTACTGATAATTTTTTTTAAATGAAACATGGCCTAGAACAGAATGACTGCTTGAACATCTATGTCCTCCTGGATATGGATGTTGTCACATACCAGACATTTGAAACAAATTACCCCTAAAAATCAATACCATACAATACATTATAGTTGACAGCCTCTCTCGTCATCACATTACCTAACGTTTCTTTGGAAGCATCTAACAGCTCGCCCACTAAGTTTATTAATGGGGCACTGCAAATAAATGCAAAGTATTGATTATATTGATGTGGTCCTCATACATCACAATGTCGGTTTCACAGGAAGATGAATCATAGTGGGTTAAATATATTGATCCAAAAATATCAACCCAATATATTTGAGAGTTTGGCAATGAAGGAAACTTTTGATACATTTTTTCCTAGGCTTAAACCAACCCAATTCAGGGTAAATTCATGTTTTTATGCATAGAGGTTGTACTCTTGTAAAATTAAGTTATATATACATGTAAATTGTCCGTTTCCTGGTAGAAGAGCATTAGGTTTTAGGAAGGTGTTTCCTAATTATTTAGTTTACCGGTATTGAAAATTTTAATGTTAAACCATTAGCTAAGTGAGCAGGACATAAATAGTCAACTTAATGTGTTTTTCCTTGCAAAGTTCTTAATAAAAGGGGACTTCTCACAGCATGTCTTTCCACCGATGCGAGCGGAGCAAATAAAAACTGTAGTGCCTCTGTAATCTTTACACTGACTCCAAAACCTGCTCAGATATTAAAAGATTCATTACTACTCCATCGGAGATAGTAATCAGAGAGGATATCGAAGCACTAAGACAGAGGGTGATTAGAGCATATTCTCCTCATCACCGTGACGATACTAAAGCAGTACATAGCTCAGGTTATGCATGATGACGGTCCGGTATAGTATTTTATAGATTTACAGTGTGAGCCAATTTCCTCAAGACATCGATTAGCGATTGGATCGCCTTGAAGAAAAGAGGCCCAGCAAAACCTGGAAGAGTGATGATCTCTCTTGTGTAACCTGTTATCCTAGCTTGTCTTGAGTTGGTTGGAAGTGCTTTTGTGATTATTATCATCTCCTGTGTGGGAAGTGATGGCATCCCTGTTAGTAAAATTTGAACTCTTGAAACAGAAAGAAAATACCAATGTTCTCTTGAAACATTAACTGAAATAGTTTAACTTGATATTCTGTTAACCAAGTGCTACAAAACCTAAGATACATTAAAATCACTCAGATTTTCAGTTGCTATTTATTGCAAGATATGATCTTTATGGTCGATGGCTATCTTTAATATGTGTCAATTAATATATATCCAATCATGGCAAAATGATACTCTAACTCTGGAGTTCTGATAATAAGTGAATAACTGTATTTGGTGAATCATTACACAAAACCTATACCACAAGGCAAGGGCTCTACATGAACTGTAGGTGTTAATATCTTTGTCAATTAGAACGCGCAAGTATATTCTATACATGTACTATTGAACATTCACTATGTAAGTCATGAAGTGAAACTTGAATGTTATTTATATAGTGACTTGGCCTCTGTCATCTTGTCATTTTAAAGAAAGTGGCCTTTTCAGATGTCGTCATCCTCCTCCCCGCCGACCCAGTGTCCATTTAGGGTGGAATTTCCTGTTATTTTGTCACATGCCGTGCAGGTTTTGATTGTGAGCAATGAGCATTATTGTTACTTGTGACAGCGTGTTGTCCTGATCCATACAATCAAGCTCCTGCTGCGAGGTGCACACTGTCAATATTGATGAAGAGTCAATAAGTAGGTCCATTGAACTGTTTACTGCCAGACCCTTGCTCTTTCTTTCTTCCTCAACCCTCTCGTTTAGTGATCTCATTCCCTTTCTATGACTCTCACAGCCCAGTCACACAAATGCAACTGAATATAGACCAAACAAAATAATTGCTTTACCACCGATGGTCCTGAAGTTGATTGGTTTCTAGTTGGATTTGCAGTGTGACTGAGGCATGGCTGGAAACCCTTGTTGGGGAAAGCAAATGAACGCATGAAATAAGACATTTAGAATTGCCTGCTCGACCCACTTACGTCTTTGTGTATGTTTGAAATAGTCATCAGTACTTGGGTGAAGGACATGTACTTTATGCATCAAAAGAGAGCAGTGGTAGAATTTTTGTTTGAAATAATAATAAAGAAAGTTTAAAGAATGAGGAGGTACATGTAAGTGAAGAAGGAGTGACATGTACTGTAACACCTTTATTTGAGATGCAGCTTTTGTAATGGCATGAATACAACAACATGTACTCACTCTGTTTGACACCATTTTGTAAAGTGTTGTACACTAATTATGATTTATAATAAGAGTCTTCTTGAGGCTGGATTTTGTAGAACTCAAATATGAACAACTTGTTGTATTTATTAGATGTATGTGAAGCCGCATTACAATCTGCGGTAGCAATAATCATGGGCATATGATATAGGTCATTTGTTGAACATACATGTAGATATAAAATGATATCATATCACAATCCCTCTTCTCAATGAAAACTTAATTTCATATTTAGATCCATACTGTTTAAAATATCTTTTTAAAATTCTTTGCTTAAGAAATTAAACTTGTGCTAATATGAACTTACAATTTCGTCCCTTTCTTTGTTTGTTTGTTGTTGTTTTTTCACCAAAAACAATTTGAAAATTCTATCACATTTGTTTTTCATTTGAATGCGAATTGTTTGCTTATTTATCTAAAATGTTTTGATCAGACTTCAGTTATCATCTTGCTTTATAATGCAATAAACTTAATTAATAAACAAAACATGACATATTCAATATGTCTCTTTAAATCTAATTACTCAAAACCTTGTAAACATTGTTAAAGAAAGCAAAAGACAACAATTATTTGAATTATCTCCAACCATATCAATATTTTACATATCGTATCTCTCTGGTTTCTTAATAGTACGACCTGATCTGGTGGTGTATGGTTGGTGGTGATTCGATGGTGTGTCTGGTTTGCATTGTGTTTGTTCTGTTTGTGCATTCTGCTGGTCGTGTACATCATTATGTCTATCACTAGCATGTTGATGGTTTTGTTCCATGCTGTCCCTCTCTTGGGTTGGTTTGATGTGCCTACGATTTCGTCGCAGAGTGTAACCTGATGATGTCTCTACTTCATATGACCTTGGTTCTGGTCTCCTGTTTGTGATCTTTCCTCTGTCCCATCTACCAGTCTCTTGATTTTGGATTCTGACTTCTTGTCCTTTGTGTAGTGGGGGAAGGTTGGTAGCGTGCTTGTCGTCAAAGTATTTCTTCTGGTCATCCTGCCTGGTCTGCAGTCTCTGGTAGATGTCATCCTTTTGGGGTGACTGGTTCCGAATTCTGGTCGGTATGTTGGTTTGGATCTTCCTCCCCAGTAACAGCTCTGCTGGAGATGGTAGATGGCTGTCCAATGGAGTGGCTCTCAGGCATTGCAATGCCTTGTTGACGCCTATGTTATCTCTCTTAGCTTTCTTCATGGTGTTCTTGACAGTTTGTACTTGCCTCTCTATAAATCCATTGGATTGTGGATATCTCGGGCTTGAGGTTACATGTTGGAAATTCCAGTCTCTGGCAAACTCTACGAATATGGCACTATTGTATTGAGGTCCATTGTCGCTCATTAGTCTCTCGGGGGTTCCTTGTTCAGAGAAGATTTCCTTAAGCAGTCTGATGACAGCACTACTTGTTGCTTGCTGTGGTAACTGCTTTACAATTGGATACTTTGAGTATACGTCAGCAACAAGAAGGTACTCTCTTCCATCAAGTGTGAAGAGGTCAGTTGTGACAAATTGCCAAGGTCTGACAGGAATTTCATGTGGCTGCAGAGTCTCTGATGGCAGGGAGTTCCCATATTCTTGACATACAGAACATTTCCGTACCATCATCTCGATCTCCTGATTTATGCCATTCCAGAAGATACAGCTCTTTGCTCTCAGTTGGCATTTGATGATGCCTTGATGTCCCTCATGTAGCTTGTTCAGGTATTCCTTTGTCAGGCATTTGGGGATGACAATTCTTGAACCTTTCAGGATAATCCCGTCTTCAATGGACATCTCGTCCCTGTATGGCCAGTATTTGATCAGGCTTTTGTCAAGTTTACGCCTTTCTCCTGGCCATCCCTCTAGGATTACATCTCTCAGGATGCAAAGTTCACAGTCCTCTGATGTTGCGGTGCGGATCTCCAGTAGCTTCTTGTCTGAGAACATTACAAAGTCAACTTTCATGTGCATTTCAGGAGACTCAGGAGGCAGAGGATTAAGTCTTGACATGGCATCAGACAGAAGCATCTCCTTTCCAGGTTTATATTTCACTGTCATGTCATACCCTTGGAGTCTGAGCAGTAGTCTTTGTAGTCTTGGTGGTGCAGCTCCAAGGTTCTTGAGAGTGATCATCTCTAGTGGTTTGTGATCTGAGAGGATAGTGAAACTTCTGCCGAAGACGAACGTGTGAAACTTTTCACATGCGTAGACAACTGCTAGCATCTCTCTCTCAATGTTAGCGTATCGCTGCTCGGTGTCTGTGAGGGACTTTGAGGCAAACGCTATTGGTCTCCCTTCCTGTGTGAGGGCTGCTCCAACGCCTTTCATCGATGCATCTACTTCTAGGACAACAGGTTTCTTTGGATCAAAGTAAGCAAGTGTGGTCTCCTTGCAGATCATATCTTTGATGGTCTCAAACACCTTCTGATGTGATTCAGTCCAGCTATATATCACATCTTTCTTCACAAGTTCCCGAAGTGGTGCAGTCAGTGAGGCAAGTCTTGGAATGAATGGTGACATGTAGGTCACAATGCCTAGGAACTCTCGGAGTTCTGTCACGTTCTGTGGTGCGTTCAGGGCTGATATGGCTGCTGTCTTCTGTGGGTCTGGTTGCACTCCATCTTTGCTGAAGACAAGGCCATAGAATCTCACTCGGTCTTGCTTGATGTGGCATTTGTTCCAGTTCAGGACGAGTCCATGCTCCTTTGCGACGCGCATCAGATTGTGTAAGTTGGCGTCATGTTCCACTGCCGTCTTTCCTACGACTGCTATGTCATCGGCCATTCCTATGACTCCAGGACATTTCTCTAGTATTTGATTCATTCGTTGCTGGAACACGTCCTGAGAAACACACAAGCCAAAAGGTAGTCTTTTGAAACGGTAACGACCAAAGGGACTATTGAAGGTCGTCAAATGGCTTGATTCTTCATCTAGCTGTATAGCCCAATATCCATGTCTGGCATCCAGGGTACTGAACACTGTTGCTCCTTCAAACTGGTGTCGGACTTCTTCAATGGTTGGCATCGGCATATGGCTTCTCTTGATTGCCTTATTTAAGTCCTTTGGGTCAAGGCAAATTCTCCATCTTCCATTGGGCTTCTGGGTGTATGCCAAGCTTGATACCCAGTCTGTTGGCTTAGTGACACTTTCTATCACTTCAAGACTCTCCATCTCATCAAGCTCTTTCTTGATGTCATCCTTTATGCCTATCGGGCATCGTCGAACTGCATGTATCACAGGAGCCGCATCTTTGTCGATCACGATGTGGTATTTCCCATCAAATTTTCCGATTCCATCAAATCTATCGGGATACAAAGTCTTCAAATGCTCTCTATCTTTGATGGGACTATCATGGCTCTCCATCAGACTGCAATTCAAGACTACTAATCCTAGATCCAGGCACAACTCAAGTCCAAGGATGGCTGGTCTTTGAGTCTTCACCACAAAGAATTCTCCATTTGCTTGTCTGTCCTGGTGGTTACAGCTCAGCGTATGTAGGCCTACTTGTGGAATAACACTCTTTTCACCATAGCCTGTTATCGTTATCGGTGACTTTCTTAGCTTTCCTGTGATAGGTTCCCCATTAGAGTCCACGCGATCAGGGTACATCTTCTGATAAATGCGTAATGGAAGAATGTTCCCTTCAGATCCTGTGTCAACTTTGGCTTTTAGAGTCGCTGGTCCTCTTCCGATCTCAACTCCGATCACAGCGAAGGCTTCGTTCTTTCTGATCTGGTCTACACAGATGGTCTCAAACCGCATGTCGTCAGTTTCTTCTGTTTCTTCCTCTTCTTTCATCTCATGGAGTCTCTTTGATCTCTGTGCTTGCGACCTTTTCGGATATGTCTTTGTAGCTTCTTGTTTCCTTTGCCACTGCTGTTTAGATTCTTGTTCCTGTTTCTTCAGTCGGCAGCATTTCTCCCAGTGATGCATTTTATCACAGTTTCTGCATTTGGTGCCATAAGCAGGGCACTTCCTCGGTGGATGGTTCAGTCCACAGAATGAGCACTGTTTCTTCCTTTGGATATGTTGCTTCGTCATATCAACGTTGACGGCTTGACCATGAAGGAGTTTCATATCCGCCTCAGTTGCCTCCTGGGTTCTGGCGATGTCCAAAGCTGTATTTAACGTCAGTTTCTCATCCTTGGCCAACAATGTTTGCTGTACCTTCTTGCTTGAGGTGCCAATGACGATCTGTTCTATGAGGCGACCTTCAAGTTCAATGTCCGCAAACTTGCATTTTTGTGCTTGTATTTTGCATCTGGCCATGAAGTCGTCTATGGCTTCGGCTGGTTCCTGTGCCAATTTCTGCAGCTGAAATCTTGCCAGACGGAAATTGGTCTTTGGTTCGAAATGTTTTATGAAAGCTTCGAAGACCTCAGCTGGGGTCTTGAAGTCCTTTCCCCAGGATTTGTGAATCCTGATACCCTCTTGACCCAGCCACAACAGGATGTATGTACATTTCTCTTGGTCAGACTTCTTGTTAAGCGGCCCTGAAAATATCAACTCACAATAGTATTGAAAATTTCTAAATTCAGTCGGCAAATCTTTGGATGCCCAATCCATGCAGGGAGGGTTGATTCCTGTCATCTCTCCCATGTTGTTTGTTTGTGTGTGTGACTTTGTAACAGCCAATAAAATCTAATATAGCCTAGAAGTCTAAGTCACATAAAAAACAACTACTACTAGAGTCTAGTCATATTCAGCCTTATACATAAAGGAGTAGGTCATAGTGTGCCTTATCCTAATATACAAGTTACATTAAAATTCACACGTACCCTATCCTGTGTTATCAATACTGCAATGAGACAAAATATCTATGGCATTTGTTATACTGCATCGCAACAAACATCATCAATAATACAATTCCAAAGCAATTTAGGCCTATTCCTTTGCCAGTCCAACTCTTCCATGTCTCTATTAAATATAAGCCGGTCCTTCAATACTATCCATGGATTTACTCACATTAAATGATCCTGGTCAGGTTGGTGATTCAACCATTCCATTCAAACATGTGCAAATAATGAATTCAGCAAAGCGTCCATTATTTCAAAATGTTGAATCTTGATTAAAATCTAGTGTCTCTCAGTTCAAGTTCATATCTTATTCCACGGAGATCTGTATTCCCAGGTTTCACTCTCATATAGGTCTAGATCTATAGGTATGTAGACTAGGTGTCGATCGAGGTGTCCAGCTCCAGCGACGTCGTCGATCCTCCCGATGAGCTCCGAGTCCGTGTGGCTCAGTTCCAAACCAAAATGCAGGGCTGGGAGTATAGCGCCCTAGCTGTACTGTACTGTTCCCGGTCCCGGTCGAGCCTCTAGGCTCTGCTCCTGACGAGCCTCTAGGCTCTGCTCCTGACGAGCCTCTAGGCTCTGCTCCTGGCGAGCCTCTAGGCTCTGGTTCTGCCTCCGCATCAAGCTGGTCCTGAATGTAGGTCAAATAATCACTTCTCGATCAGTGCTGTGCTATCGGACGATAGGCTCACTCGGTCTCAGTTCGTAGGGGGTTTAAAATCTCATATTTGCGACTCACCAAATAATCAGTGTCGTTTTCTGCAGTACTCAAACGTCCCTCAAATATATCGCTGACCTGTTCAGAGCTTCACCTTTCTCAGTTCAAAATTCATCTCAGCGGAATATCAGTCCAAAATCGTTGTAGAGGAAAACTAACTTGCTCAAATCGTGAAGTTTCCGTCATTCACAATGTAAACAATCGACTCACACTGTTCCGTTCAAAATTCCTCCGCGGTTAGCGCGCGTAATTTTTCATACGTGCTAGTCAGTTCCATACCGCATACACACGAGCCAAATTAGCACAGGGGGTCGATGCGCGTAAACGAAATCCCAACCTAGGCCTGGCCGGTAAACGGTGCTTAAATTGTCCATAAAATCCAAATCCGGGCTCCACCTGCACTCAAAATGGTCTAGCAAAGTCCTGGCACCGCTGCCACCATGTAAAGTGTTGTACACTAATTATGATTTATAATAAGAGTCTTCTTGAGGCTGGATTTTGTAGAACTCAAATATGAACAACTTGTTGTATTTATTAGATGTATGTGAAGCCGCATTACAATCTGCGGTAGCAATAATCATGGGCATATGATATAGGTCATTTGTTGAACATACATGTAGATATAAAATGATATCATATCACACATTTACTCCTAGATAATTAACTTTGTCTGTATATCATGGCCTTGAGATATTATTCAATTCAATAAATTCACTTTCAATTTATTCATCATCCAACAATGTAAAAACATATACTGGTACATGTACATGTGTAACAGTCATCAATACTCCAATTGGAAAAATATTACATGAAAGGACACCTTTAAAAAAGCACAAGGCTTGTAAAACAGAAGGCACCTGAACATATGAAAATGGCCACAAAGGGAATACAAATCAAATATGCAGTACATTAAATACACTATTCAGACACAGTCCCCCCCCCCCCCACTCCAGCAACATCAGATATAGCAAATAGAATAACTAAATATACGAAGATACATGTACATTGTACATCATATCATGGTCATGATCAAGTCTATAGTTGATCAGTTAAGAAAAAGGAAGGAAGTGCTTGTTGATCTGACATCAAAATGATAAGAATTTGTAGGTCTACATCAATTCTTTTTAAGCCAAGAACAAGGTCTTTGTACTCTCACATAACTTCCACCTTCAGCCTTGGATCATTCAATATTTGTATTATTGGATCAATTTTACTCTGGTAATTTCCTCTTCTGTGTCCGATTCCGATTGCATGGGTGGAAAGTAAAGTTTGATTCTCTGCTGATTGGGTAGCAGTGTAAGATGACATTGACTTTGGGAGATATTCATCTACAATTTGTGTTTGCAATCGAAGCTGGTGTTTGGTTTAGCTGGTCTCGGTTGAAGAAGTGTGTCAGTAGCTTGGGGGTTACTTCATATCTTTCAGCCTGATCTTCTTGTGATGTTTGTCTGGGGTTGGGATGGGTGTGTGCATGAATATGAAATGGAAGGAAGAGGAGGGGGAAGAGGGAGGGGGAAGAAGGAGGGATTTGAAGAGACTCATTTGGAAAAAGATTTAAAGAGAGAGAGAGAGAGAGAAGAGGGGGGGGGGGAGGAGGGATCTGAAGAGACTCATTTGGAAAAAGATTAAAAGAGAGAGAGGGAGAAGGGGGAGGGGGCAATAATATGTAGAATTGTAGACATTTTGAACTTGTGACTGTAATGGTGTAGTAAGTTGTATCCTTCATATTGTTGCAAACAATAAAATTGATAGTACAAAATGGAAGACAATTAGGACCAGTAATACACATGTAGTAATTTATAATGAGAGTATGAGAGAGATGAACAAAACTTGAGTGATATTGGGATAATGTTGGAGGGGTGGGAAAGGAGGTAGTTGAGATTGGATGAAGAGATAACTTAGAGCAATGTAATTGTTGCAGTAGGACAAATTAGAAATGTATTACAAGGACACAATGAATGTTTGACAGAAGAACATACATTTATAGGGAAATAGCAAGACCAAACATAAAAACAAGGAAGAGAAAACCCATTCAAAGAGTTTGACTGCTTTATTTTGACATCAGAAGCAGAAAGCACTGCAAATAAGAAGAAAATATAGGCCGGAGCAAACGCTGTAAACACTTTGATGAATGTTGAATGGATTTGACAGTTGTAGAGAGCTACTACTCGTGGGAGAAAACCTTGCTCTCTTTTGCTCATGTTATTACGAAAGCTTTTGACAAATTTACAAGGAGTCAACTTCTACTCCTTTCATTACAAATCCTTTGTAAGATGTAAATCTTTGATGAAAACCCTATAATTGCATACCGGTCTATGCAACGTGACACATCCCTCGGAGCAATGAAGTTCACAAATGGATCTAAACTTTGAAAATTACATTCCACATGTACAGAGGGAAATGTACATTTCATCTCTTTCATTGTAACTTCTATGAATGTTCTTGAACATGTTGTTGTAGAACATTGCCTGCACATTCATGTTTTTTTTCTAATTGTCCAGTAAACACCTTCTTTGCAAGTTAACCAAGGCCAAAAATTTGTTTTCAATAAATTGTATGCAAGTTATTATTTTTTAAAACTTTCATGGATGCATACTTGTAAGAAAATGAATGCCTGTTCATGTATTCTCTGGCTTTAATTTGGGACAGTTGAAAATGCCCAGAAAGTATTCTATCATGTCCTGCAGTGAACTTAAGATCAAAATGAGTGATTGCCATGACGATCGCTTCTAACAAGGATATCGCAAGGCCGAAGAATCCCAAGAAAGAGGTTTCCTTCAGGAAATATCGCAGCATTGACAAGGACTCTCTACGCAACTCTATTGACACAATGTTCCATTCACTACCTGATCTATCTTGTCCATCTGCTTCCGCGGAGCATTATAACTCATCTTTGCGGACGTTGATTGATGAGCACGCTCCAATCCAGGTCAAGACTGTATCAATCAGACCTGATGCGCCATGGTTTACCGATGATATCCAGGAAGCCAAGAGGCGAAGGCGTCGTGCGGAACGTCGTTCGATCAAGTCTGGACTTTTTGTTGATAGAGAGCTGTACCGCCGTGAATGCGAGTCATATTATGAGTGCATCTTCAATGCGAAGTCATCGTATCTCAAAGATCTCATCAAGAATGCTGACACTAAAGAACTGTTTCGTCTTGTGAAGACACTCTCAACGCCCACTCAATCTTCACCTCTTCCAGATCATTCTTCTGATAGTGAACTCGCCAACAGATTTGCTACATTCTTCAGGGAAAAAGTCGCCAAAGTTGTATCCTCTTTCCCTAATGTAGCACCAGCACCAGCTTCAAGATCTTTTGCTCCAGGCCCTCGTCATGAACTCTCTGATTTCTGCCTTGTATCCCTCTCACAAGTCAGGAAGCTCATCATTTCGCTTCCTTCTAAACACTGTAAGCTAGATCCGATTCCTACCTGGCTTCTAAAGGAAGTCCTCGATGAACTCCTTCCTCACATAACCAAACTGTTCAATCTCTCGTTATCATCCGGAATAGTTCCAGAGTCTTTTAAGACTTCTCTGCTTCTTCCCCTCCTAAAGAAGCCGAGTCTCGACACGAATGGACTTAAGAACTACAGGCCCATCGCAAACCTGCCATTCCTTGGGAAGGTTTTGGAACGTATTGTGTCACTACAGCTGAAAGCCCACATTGACAATCTCGGTTTGTTTCCAATCCACCAATCTGCCTATCGGAATCATCATTCTACTGAGACTGCAACTGTCAAGGTCCTAAATGACCTACTTCTAGCTGTAGATAAGGGTAATGAAGCTGTCCTCATCTTGCTTGATTACACTGCCGCATTTGACACTATCAACCACGACCTGTTACTCCATCGCTTAGAGAACGACTTCTCCATCACCGGCACCGTACTTCAATGGATTCGCTCCTATCTCATGCACCGAACTCAGAAGGTGATCATCAATGACACCAACTCGGAATCATTTCCCCTCATCTGCGGCGTTCCTCAGGGTTCCGTGGTCGGCCCCCTCCTGTTTATTCTTTACACCAGCCCTCTCTCAAATGTTATTAACCTTCATCAGAATATTCAACACACTATGTATGCAGACG